CTCCATGCACTGGGAGCCCGACGTGGGATTCAATCCCGGGTCTCCAGGATCGCGCCCTGGGCCAAAGGCAGGCGCTAAACCGCTGAGCCACCCAGGGATCCCTATATACATAATACTTTTACACACATTATCTAATTTGAACATTTGGACAGACCTATGAATTAAAGAAAAGGTTGTTAACCCTTTCTATAGATGAGAAAATTGAGGCCAGGATAGATGAAACGATTTGCCCTCAATTACTTGAAGTGGTATATCTGTTAGAACCCAGGTTTTCTGACTCCTCTGTCAAAACAATAAGATTCTTGTATTAGCCACTTGTAAGAGTCCTGTAGAGTAATTTAGAATTTAGTTTGGACATAGTTTTAATATTTGGTTTCTAACGTGTTGCAAATAAAAATTACTGATTTAGAGCTACTTGTTAGTGCTAGTCAGATTGCCAACAGCAATGAGTGATAGACACCAACAAAGGATGGTTGAGAAAAACTGAAGCAAACATAAATCAAAAAGATTGAGCTCTGGTGCCTTTGTCAAAGGGTGTAAAACCTCATATGTTTCAGTAGATTCCAAGTATTCACTTTATTACAATATCATACAATAATTGCTTTAGAAATAATTCATTTGGAAAAATTCACATGAAGGAAGTTGCATTAAAAATGTTTGCTGGTTGCATTTGGATATTAACTTAATTTTCTATGATCTTGGATAAATGACGCATTGTTATGTTAACCTCTTATACTTCTAAGATTTGTACTAATGGTATTTTATACTGGTTTAATCACTGTTAACTTAGAATGACAGTCTTATAGTATACTACTTATCAGTTAACTTTGATCTGATTTCGTTGAAATTCACCACTCTCAATTATTTACAACAGATTTTGTTTCTGGCCCTCTTAAGTATCAGAGCCTACTACAGAAATAATATCTAGCCCTGACTATGTGACAAAGGGCAAAGAGGCAGCACTTGAAGGTACTGATCAGTAGAGGGGGAGTTAAGAGGTAATACACTTGGGATAACCATTGAGACCTGAAAGTCTGAAACAAGCAGACAGGAACCTTCTACAAGGGTAAGAAAAACAAAAACTTATGATCTGTCAGAGGCAGATTTGATGCTTTTCCTTCATTTTCTTCTTTGTCCAGAGAAGGAGCTATTGTCTTTTTCCTGTAGGATTTCACTTTTGGCTTGCTTTCTTAGTTACCTTCAACAGTGCACTGCATCTACTATGAAGGTAACTTGATTTTAATGAGATTTAATTGATAATCAAATACCAGAAATGAGTAAACATGTTGGGAAATGAGTCCTGGCCACAATGTGATACGTGATCTGTGAATAGGGAGAAATATTGTGTTGATATGTGTAGAAGTGCTTTGCTCTCTTACTGTATAATCACTGCTTAATTAGTCATCATTCTTTTTTTTTTATAAATTAATTTTTATTGGTGTTCAATTTACCAACATACAGAATAACACCCAGTGCTCATCCCGTCAAGTGTCCCCCTCCGTGCCCGTCACCCATTCACCCCCACCCCCCACCCTCCTCCCCTTCCACCACCCCTAGTTCATTTCCCAGAGTTAGAAGTCTTTATGTTCTGTGTCCCTTTCTGATATCTCCCACACATTTCTTCTCCCTTCCCTTATATTCCCCTTCACTATTATTCATATTCCCCAAATGAGTGAGAACATACACTGTTTGTCCTTCTCCGATTGATTAGTCATCATTCTTGAGGAATTTCTATTAATTAGGTACCTTTGAACCCTGGTGATATGGTATATTGAATGTTTATAATGTTAATCTCAAATCCTTACAGGGATTCCAAATTAAGGAGCAGTTAAGCTGATATCTTTTAATGATGAGACTATCTTGCTGAATTTTAGTTCTTTTAAAGCTGATAGTTTTAGGTAGGTTAATACTGGAATATTTGGTTTCTGATAATACTTGTTACTATGCTGCGTGATTAATATATTTCTATGTATTTCTTCACATAGCAATAATTTGAGAAGAAATAACTTTGTCTCATTTCATAAGTATAAAGTGGAAAAAAATGCAAAACAATACATATAAGTGATAGTAATGATATATAAATGATGTATACCTATGTATTAAAAAATTAGAAAACTGGGCAGATATTCACAGTAATAACCTGTGGATAGTAGGATTGTGGGCAGTTTTCTTTGTGCTTTTCTGCACTTTCTGGTTTTTCTAAGATTAAGATATTTTATAGGAAAAAAATTAACTAAAAACAAAATATTCTTATGTTCAGAAAACAGTCTATATTTTTAGACTGTGCTTTGTTCTTAATTATCATGTGTTAAGAATGTACTTTGCTTTATGGGTGAATTTTACTTCAATAATGTGAAAGTTTGCTTTTTTCGAGAGGTAATCCCTATTGCTGCTCATGAAGCCATCCCATCCTCCCAAGGGCTCCTTGTTTGTGTGATGAAGTTTGGAGTTAAAGGAGACTTTTATTTCTAAAAATTCTTTTTGGGGCACCTGGGTGGCTCAGTCGGTTAAGCATCCGACTCTTGGTCTCAGGGTGGTGAGTTCAGGCTTCCTGTGGGGCTCCACGCTGGATGTGGCACCTTCTTAAGGAAGGATTTTTATCTTTTTTTTTTTTTATCTTGACTCAAACACATGCATGTATTCTTAGGAAATGTTTATTTCACATAAAAATAAAGCTTCATTGTGAGTACATGTTTCATTAATTAGAGTTGTGTTATTGAAAATTTGAATGTGCTCATAGTTTTAAAATATGCCATTTTGTGTTGAATAGAGGTTGACACTAATAGTTTGTGGGAATTTGTAAATTACTTTTGTAAAACTATTACAGATAATAGTTTATTTGTAAGAATGATTAATTTGTGTTTAGTGAGAGCTTCTCAGGTCATAATATTCTATTCACTGAAGTCTTATTTAGAAAGGATGTAAGAGGAGCCAAGGTTAAAAGACATAAAATATGGGATGCTATAAAATGTTTCCAGAATAAGAGGATCTTGTAATATATTGTGTTAGATCTGTGTGTTTTTTGCTTTGAATTTTATTAATTTGAATTTAATAGCTACTTTCCCCACTAAAGCTTAGATATGTTAAAAACTCTGTTCATAGTTGGTCCCAGGATTATTTAAATGTATCTGTGAGGTTTTGATTGTTGGATCATTAATCACCATTTTAAAAGAAAGTTATTTTTTAAACTATGATTTTCTTTTTTTTTTAAACTATGATTTTCTTAACTTAAAAAAAATGAAGGGATTCTACTAGTGAGTTATTAAGATCCTGTTAATGTATACAATGAGGTGAGTATGCAACAGACTATTTTCTCTGTAAGAGGTTTCTCTTTAGTGCTTGGTTTCTCAGTCTAGGTTTCGTCCTCCATGTGCTTGGGACCATGCAAAGGTAGTTAAACTTGTACAATGATTTGGGGAGGGGGGGACATTTTTATATTAAAAGAAATGTGTATTTCTTTTAAAGTAAAACTACAAAAGGTGAGTGCGTGTTTGAGAGTGTGCATGCGTGCATGTGTGTGTTTAAACTAAACCAGGCATATTAAAAGTACTTTTACCATTGATGAAGGCAGCTTGATCTATACCCCCAGATTCCTGAGGGAACTGGCATATATTCTCTATTGTTAGGGTTTCCTGGTATGGCAAAGTCTAAGAAACAGCTTGAATGTATGCGCTGGTGTACCACCCATAAATATTGATTATACAGCCATGCTTATTTTAATTGAGATTAGGAGGCAAATAATTTAATTTTTTTTTACAATTTTTAGAGGAAAGTTTCAGGCATATGCAAATATAGACATATAGTATATATGTAACCATCATTCAGCTTCAGCAAATATTAACTCATGCCATTCTTTGGGAATTTAATTTTATGTATATTTGCTAAGATTTGCCAAGATAAGCATCTGTAAGGTCAAGGTACTAACATCAGAAGCATTTCTGAACAAAGATGTTGCAGTTGGTGGGTGGGTATGACTGTGCTCAGCTGTTGTATAAGCTTGCATAAATAGTATCATCTTGACTTTAATCTTTCCGTTGTTTAGAGGTAGTGTGCATATTTCTGTTTAACCCCTGGAAACTTGCCAAAATAATTTGTATCCTCTCCATCCTTGGCACCTTGACTCTAGTCTGTGAGTAAAAGCAGTAAGCTGATGTTAGGAGTCTGTTGGATAGAGCCATTAAGAAGGAAAATCTTCATTTCCAATTTAAAAAACTTTGGAGAATTACCTGGTTGATGTTTTGGATGCTGTAAAATCTGTTTCACTTTTCATCTGCTTGGAAATACACTTTATAAACCTGAGAACATAGAGCCAGACAAACCTGTATTCAAATCTCAGCTGGCCTTAAATACTTACTTACTTACTTACTTACTTACTTACTTACTTACTTACTTACTTACTTTATTTATTTATTTATTTATTTATTTATTTATTTATTTATTTATTTATTTATTTATTTATTTATAAAGATTTTATTTACTTATGAGAGAGAGAAAGACAGGTAGAGGGAGAAGCAGGCTCCATGCAGGGAGCCTGACGTGGGACTCGATCAGGCCCTGGACTGAAGGCAGCGCTGAACCGCTGAGCCACCTGGGCTGCCCTCTTTACCCTCTTTAAATCTCACTTGTAAAAAAAAAACAAAAAAAAACCTCACTTGTTAAAATGTAAAATGGGGATATGGATTTTTGTATGAAGTGAATGAAATAATACATTCAACATTATCTTGAAATGTCATTTGCACTCTATGTTTGAGTAGGTATGTGTCCTAAGTCTTAGATAGATTTGTATAACTGAAATTGAGGAAGTACTATTTATAATTACTAGGCTACTTAGAAGAGCCAATCTTTACTTTGTCATATCTAGTTTTCTGACTGGTAGTTATAAGATCTAAAGATATAATGAAAGATCTGAAGATAGAAAATGTCCTTTGAACAAATACTGTATTGAAGCGAAGCACTGGAAAAAAATGCCTTATAGTTTTTTTCTTATCAAATAATTACAGCAAACTCTGGCCTGTTCCATTCTAACTGCACTATTGAGTGAATTCTCAAGTTCAAGTAAAACTAGCAACATTGGACTCAGTATGGAATTCCATGGTAACTGCAAAAGAGTTTTTCAGGTATTGGTATTTTTATGTTTTATTAGATTGTTTACTTTTTATACAATCTATTTCTAATGGAGTGAGAACATTTATTTTATCTAGTTGAATGATGGCCTGTACTTGAAGAGTTGTATTGTGATTTCATAGCATTTAGTAAAGGATAAAAGATAGCATAGGATGAAGATTTGGTGAACATAGTTGACAATTTTAGATTTATTGTTTAATTCTAGTCTTTAAACAAAAAGGAAATACCCCTCCAAAGATCCTTAGATTATTTATTTGTTCTTATTGCATTTAGATGTAACTAATTCAATTGGTGGGATTTTGCTGGCCCTTAAAATAGGCCTGGCAGAGTGCCAACGAGGGCCATGTATTTAAAATGTTATTGCAGATGGTGTGGGCTCTTTGTCTCATATGTATTGTTTGGCTCTGAAGTAAAGTTATGTGAAGGCATTGGCTTAAATCCGAGGGCTCTGTGCAAAAGCAACTGACCCCTCCAGCTTTGTAGTAGTTGTAAAGACTCAACTTCTTTGTGGAGTAGCATTTATATTACAGTAGGTGTATTCATTCAAACCAGTGTCACTTGAAAGCATATTGCAATATAAATTATGAGCAGGCCTAAAAATGGAAAATGTTCTTAAAGAGGTAGTGTTTTCTATTGAAAATTTTAAGGTTTTTGTTTCATTTTATGGTTCTAAAATGGGAATACATTTTGAACATGCTTTTGATTAATATGTGTGATTTATTATAGGAAGAAGACCTTCGTCAAATCTTCATGTTAACGGTTGAAGTTCTTCAGGAGTTCAGCAGGCGGGAAAACCTCAATGCTCAGATGTCTTCGGTATTTCAGCGTTACCTTGCACTCGCCAATCAAGTCTTGAGCTGGAACTTTCTTCCTCCAAATTATATCCTTTTAACAACCAAATAGTTTATTTGTGGTAATTTTCATAGATGACTTAATTCTGGCTAAAAATACTGTATCTCTGTAGGTTTGTAAAGCATGTTGAAAGAAAATATAAGTTTTTTTAGAAATGAAATTTAATTTTTTTCATTTTAGAATACACAATTCAATGGACTAACAAGATTTAAAATTTCATTACAACTTTGCAGAAGAGAGTCAAATAAATGGAAACATTTAGTAGATAATGGGGCTATTGCTGACTAATAGTAGTGTTCCTAGGAAGGAAAAGGAAGAAGGTGGGAAGTGAAGTTTTGTCAAGAAACGAAGTCATTTTCTCCAAGTAACATGTGATTACATTGGATTTTTTGGCTGACTTTCCATAAGACTAATTTGGCATTCTCTAATTTAATCTTTATGGATGAAGATACTGTTCAAGTATGCATAGTAAGGTAGTATGTTTATTCTTTGAAGACCTTTTTTAATATAAAAATGTAAAACTTTTATTTCTAGCTAATTATGAGTAATACAAAATAAATTATTTATTTATTTTTAAGATTTTATTTATTTATTCATAGACATAGGGAGAGAGAGGCAGAGACACAGGCAGAGAAGCAGGCTCCATGCCTGATGCGGGACTCAGTCCCGGAACTCTAGGATCACGCCCTGGGGCAAAGGCAGGCGCTGAACAGCTGAGCCACCCAGGGATTCCAAAATAAGTTTAAATGGGTTAAATTGTAGGTACATATATCTACTTTTTAAAAAAATCAGTTATTAAAGTTGAAAAATTTGTATTTTTTACTCTAAGGTTTATGATTTTTTTTTAAGATTTTATATATTTATTCATGAGAGGCACAGAGAGAGGTAGAGACACAGGCTGAGGGAGAAGCAGGCTCCCTGTGGGGAACCTGATGTGGGACTTCATCCCAGGACTCCAAGATCATGACCTGAGCTGAAGGCAGATGCTCAACCGCTGAGCCACCCAGGCGTCCCTAAGGTTTATGATTTGCTTTCTAGAACATTTGCTGCTTATTGATAGGTTGAAACCTATACTATCTAGAGTCTCTTCATTTTTATCATAGTTGAATTAGAGAAATCTAGGTTCAATTCTTAGCTGATGTTAGGCAAATTAACATCACCGAGTCTCAGTTTTTCCAAATATAAAATGGGAATATGGATTGTTGAATGAATTAAATTTAGTAATACATTTAAAAACTTAGGAGTGGGGCAGCCTGGGTGGCTCAGTGGTTTAGCGCCACCTTTGGCCCAGGGCCTGATCCAGGAGACGCGGGGTCAAATTCCACGTCAGGGTCCCTGCATGGAGCCTGCTTCTCCCTCCCCCCCCCCCTCTCTGTCTCTCATGAATAAATAAATAAAATATTTAAAAAAATAAAAATAAAAACTTAGGAGTTAGCTGCTATTTTTTGAGCTTCTAACAGTTTATTTGAATAAAAAAGCTCATCAGCCACCTGTGTCACATTCTTTTTTCTTGATCTAATTATAGAGGAAATTTAATATAAACCTGTTGTACATGTCTTTAATCAGTCTTTTCTTGGGGGCCTGGGTATGGGGAGCTAGGGAATCTATTTAGGAGAAAAAAGACAGATGACAAGCAAATAGAAAATACGTGTTCAGCCATATCAGAGATTTAGGATGAGACTCATCTTTATTTCAACAGAGCCAAGAGTTGCTGCATTCACATACTAGAAATTACCTACTATTTTTAGCTGGTAAAATTGTAGGATTTTAAAGGGGCTGAGTGGGATGAGGTACAACTCTTTCTTCTATTTTCAATGTAATATATTCATGTAGTAGAAAACTGAAGTTCTGTATAGGGCATTTAGTCTGACTCAGATCTTAACTTCTCCAGTTTTCTTCCCCAAGGCAATCATGGTGAGCTGTTGCTCTGTGGGGCAGCAGGGATGTTAATCACTTTTCCGCTTTTATCCTTGCTCTCTAATCATCTTTCTACTAGTTATTAATTTTATATCTTCAGTATGTTTTTTTGTTGTTGTTGTTAAAAGGCACATATTTTCTTAGGTTTGCTTTTTAAAGAATTTTCCCTTTGAGTGTTGTAATATTTTTGCTCCAGTTTTTGTTAGTAAAAAAGATGTTGAAAAACTTTGAGACAGACTTAAAAAATAACAGGCCATATGGAGCTATCAAAACATTAATTATATATGTAGGGAAAATTAACAAAAGTTACACTGCATATATTGGAGCCAATTTTAAATCTCTGTTTTAGGGGAAAATGTAGTTGGCTGAAGAGTGGCTGTTTCGTAAAGGGAAACAGTGCTGTGGGAGTTTGGAAACAAAGTTTGTTTAAAGATACATACACATAAAATATTTTCATAATGTATTTAGGTAAAGCTTTGCAAAACATGTCATCTGAAAATAAGCACAGCTACAGTGTTCCCAAAAGAAATAAGTCCTTGTTTAAGCAAAAATAGATCTTGATCTTGACCTTTGGATATTCTACTTGATGAATAGAGAGATGAATTGGTTAGAGATGAATTCATATCTAACCGTAGATGTTTGCCTAGTAGCCATTTGTTGGCTATCTGAACTCCAGTCCAGTATTGCTTCCTTTAAGTATAGGAGAAAAGGCATGACAATGGAGTTAAATTAAGCTATATTAGGGACACCTGGGTGGCTTAGTGATTGAGCGTCTGTCTGCCTTTGACTCAGGTTGTGATCCCAGGGTCCTGGGATCAAGTCCTGTCCTCAGGTTCCCCGTAGGGAGCCTGCTTCTCCCTCTGCCTTCTCTGTTTATCTCTTGTGAATAAATAAATAAAATCTTTTAAAAAAATTAAGCTATATTTTCAGCAGTACTTAAGGTAATCAGTTTCAAAGAACCCAGTTCTGATATAATTTCTAATTTTGGCAATTTCTTGGTGATCTATTTAATCATTGGGGAGGGAATTGGATAATTACTTAGCTTTGTACCTTGAAGAGGGCCTATAGATCAAGTTTAACTTAGTTAATATAAAATGGTTGGCTTTTTATTTTTATTTTATTTTATTTTTTAAATTTTATTTATTTATTTATTGAAAGACACACAGAGAGAGGCAGAGACACAGGCAGAGGGAGAAGCAGGCTCCATGCAGGGAGCCTGACGTGGGACTTGATCCCAGGACTCCAGGATCACGCCTTGGCGGAAGGCAGGTGCTAAACTGCTGGGCCACCCAGGGATTCCCTGGTTGGCTTTTTAAAAAATGATTTATCGGGATCCCTGGGTGGCGCAGTGGTTTGGCGCCTGCCTTTGGCCCAGGGCGCGATCCTGGAGACCCAGGATCGAATCCCACATCGGGCTCCCGGTGCATGGAGCCTGCTTCTCCCTCTGCCTATGTCTCTGCGCCTCTCTCTCTCTCTCTCTGTGACTATCATAAATAAATAAAAATTAAAAAAAAATGATTTATCTTTTAAGATAAATGAATAGCTAATAGACCTTGTAAAATGTATATTTTGTATCAAATACATTTGATCATTTAGAATGGTATCTTGTTAAATGAGGCGGTCTTAAATTTTCACTGTCATTCCCTAATAATTTTTTATTATGTGCTTTCTCCTTTGAATCTTTTTATTTTGGTATAATTCCAAACATACAGAGATACTACAAGAGTAATTGACAGAATTGGCGTGTGCCCCAATACAAGATTCACCAGTTGAAAATATTCTGTCCCTTTATTTCATTTTTCCTCTCTGTCTCTACGTACATATAATTTTCTCTTGTAAAAATATACCACATTTTTTTTTATTGATCACTGACAGTTGGGTTATTTCAGCTTTTTGGTTACTATGAATAATGCTGCTTCTATGAACATTCATTATAAGTTCATGCTTGGACTTACATTTCATTTGTCTGATATATCCATGGAGTAGAATTGCTGGATCATATGGAAACTCTGTGTTTAAAAAAAAAAAAAAAGAAAGAAACTCTGTGTTTAATCTTTTGAGGAATTGCCAAGCTGTTTTCTAAACTAGCTGTACCATTTAACATTCTCACCAGCATTATATGAGGTTTCCAATTTCTCCACATCCTGGGCAACACTTGTTATCGGTCTGTTTATAGCCATCCTATTTCATATAAAGTGGTATCACATTGTGATTTTGATTTGCATTACTGTGATGGTTAATGTATTAAATATCTTCTTATGTGGTTGTGGGCCATTTGTGTGTCTTCTTCAGAAAAATGCTATTGAAATCTGTTGTCTATTTTTTTATTGGTTTATTTGTCTGTTTAAAACTGAGTTGTAATAGTTTCTTATGTATTCTAGATACAGGTCCCTTAACAGATAATATGATTTTCAAATATTTTCCTCCATTTCTGTGAGTTGTATTTTACTTTTTTTGATGTCCTTTGAAACACAGAAAATTTGGATTTGATGATGTCCAAGTTATTTATTTTTCCTTTTGTTGTCGTATCTCAGAAATCATTGCCTGATCCAAGATCATGAAGATTTGTATTTATGCCTGTGTCTTCTTCTAATACTGGCTTCTTATATTGAAGACTTTGATCCATTTTGAATTAAGTTTTATGTATGATGTGGGATAGTGATCAGGCTTAATTCTTTTATCCAGTTATCCAAACAGATAATTAACTATTGATCGGAAAGGCAGAAGAGACTGGGGGATTAGGAAGTACCTGAGATATGTCATGGTGTTGAGTGATAGCTATATCTGTTAATATGTAACTTAATTGCCCTAATATCAATTTGGAATGCCAAAAGGATTGATAGGAGAAATTACCCGTGAGTAAATATGCATGCTCGTCTTCCAAACTTGTATATACATAAATATTTGTTGATAAAGGATAAGATTGTAGACCAAAATATATATGAGATTGCCTGGAAGGAAATTTTGTGTAGTTGGCTGCTGAAGTTTTTGGAAGTTTATTACAGAGAAGTGTATAAATTATGACTGAAAATGTTATCGAGAAAGCCAATTGAGGCTAACTCAGCAGTGGAGCTAGAATGTGCAGAGAGGCATTAGTGAAAAGAATACACA